TGGCTCAGCCTGTAATCCCGTGCCTTTGGGAGACTGAGGTGAGTGAATTGCCTGAGCCCACAGGTTCAAGACCCACCTGGGCAGCGAGACCTCATCTCTCCAATAAATCAAAAATCAGCCAGGCGTGGTAGCGCGTGCCTGTAGTTCCAGCTGCTTGAATGTCTGAGGTGGAAGGATCGCTGGAGCCCAGCAGGTCGAGGCTGCGGTGGCCGGAGCGGCCACTGCACTCCAGTCTGGGCGACAGAGTGAGACTCCAACTCAAAAAAAAAAAAAAAAAACCTCCTAAGAAAAGTGTTTTGTTTTCCATTATGTTTATTCAATGGAGGGATTGTGCTGTAGCAAGGTAGAAGACAAATTGAGACATTTCATTGCATTAAGTTTTGTGTTCTTTTCTATTGTAGGAAAAAGAATTCTGGTTTTAAATGGAGGCTATAGAGGAAATGAAGGCACCCTTGAATCCATCAATGAGAAAACTTTTTCAGCTACTATCGTCATTGAAACTGTAAGTTTGTACAAACATAGAAATTTCAAAATGCTTTAAAAATGTCCTGTAGTTCTTTTTAATTGGATTGGTTTGTTATAGTTTAGAATGTGGGTTTTTTGTCTTCTCTTTTATTTGGAAATCTGTATGTTTATTTTCTCCATTGACACTGCGATTGCTTAAGTGTTGTTTTTTCTGATTACCAAGGAAATGTTTTCTCGTTGTATAAAATCTGAAGCATAATTTAATTTAAATAATTCTAAAAATTATCCATATCCCCCAGCTCAGTGATAACCCACATAATTTTCTGTTTTTTTGTCTTTATAGTTTATAAAATTGTATACAATATACAATATATACAGTTTTTTATCCTGCCTTTTTTTTCCCTCACATTTAATACAAAGATTCAGTTTGGCATAATAAAATTCGTGAGGAAAGAAATATAGTCATAGTTAATAGGGAAGGCACCACAGAGATCAACCATTTTTTAAAATGTCCCCCCTCATTCCTAAAGGATTTAAGAAAGCGGTAATTTAAGTCAGGTACAGTGATTCGCGCCTGTAATTCCAGCACTGTGGGAGGCGGAGGCGAGAGGATTGCCTGAGCCCAGGGATTGGAGGCCAGTCTGGGCAACTTGACAAGACCTCATCTCTACAATAAATCAAAATATTAGCTGGGCATGGGTACACACCTGTGGTCCCAGCTGCTTGGAAGACTGAGGCAAAGTGATCGCCTGAGCCCTACAGGTCGAGGCTGCAGTAGCCATGAGCGAGCCACTGCACTCCAGCCTGGACAACAGAGTGAGACACTGACTCAAAAAAAAAAAACCAAAACCGGTTGCTTTACATAAACTGTAAAGGAAAAAAGGAAAGGGAATTCTTATCTGACAATGAGGAATGTATCAGTTTGACTAAGTTAACAGACTGAGTTCTTTCTTCCTGTTTTTCTCTCTGACTTGATCAGTATAAGGTGATGGGAAGTCTGATCTTTCCTTAACAGGTGGATGATCCTTCCCTTTCGGTTTCACGGTTCTATCAGTGTAGATCCTGCTTCACATTTTCATCCAAAGGAAACACAAAACCACTGATCACTGTTAGGACACAGTAAGCTCCATCCCGATGGTGCTGGTCAGTGTGCCTGAAGCCCATCTAGAGCTCACTGTGCCTCCTCCCTGTGACCCCACAGTCTCACCTTCTTTGGAGCGCAGGCCCGTGCTGGGATCGCATATCGGAGCAGACCACGTACAGAGCCGCTCTGTTGGCTGCAGGACAGCACGTCTTTCCAGAGGAGGAAATCCACCTCCTAAGTTTTATTTTTCTCTCTTTTTTTAGCCCACCCTACTTTTAAAAAAAAGAAAAATTCTGTGTTTTTCTGTGCATGTATCTGTGTCTTTTTGTCCTGGTATTTTTCCCAAGTCTCTTGAACTTTTCAAGTGACTTTTCTTGCTATTTTTATCATTTCTGCCATCTTAAATGTTAGTATCAGTTGTAATCTTTGAAATGTACATATTTGCTAAGCAGATTTTTGATAGGTGATCAACAGTTCCTAAGCAACCTCCGCTTTTCAGCTGTTTGCCTGATGACCCCAAATGTCTGGCTGCCTTCTTATTTTCCAGATTTTTAGTTATCAGAAAAGTATAACTGACCTTAGACCACCAAGCTTGATGATGAAAAATTCAACCTGGGTCATACTTTATCTAGGAACTTATTTCCTTTACATATAATCATATTAAAAGAATGACCTTTTTTTCAAGTTTTTTTGTTTGTTTGTTTGTTTTGGCTAGGCATGGTGGCTTATGCCTGTAATACCAACACTTTGGGAGGCAGAGGCAAGAAAATTACTTGAGCCCAGGGGTTCAAAACCCGCCTGGGCAACTTGGTGAAACCTTATCTCTACAAGTAAAAAAAAAAATCAGTCCGTCACGGGCCTGTAGTCCCAGCTAGAGTCTGTTGCCCAGGCTGAAGTACAGCAGCATGCTCACAGCCACCATAGCCTCCCAAGTTGCTGGAACTGTAGGCAAGCGCCACCATGCCCAGTTGATTTTTTTTTTCAATCTTTTGTAGAGATGAGGTATTGCTATGTTGCCTAGGTTGGTCTCGAACTCCTGGACTCAAGCAGTCCTCCCGTCTTAGTCTTCCAACGTGTTGGGATTACAGGCGTGAGCCACTGTGCCCAACCATAGAGTGTTTTTAAAATTCATAGCTGTATAGAAATATCGATTACCATATAGCTCGAGGGCATGGGAAGGGGTCTTTTGGCAAGCTCTGTGGCCTGGTCTGTCCGTTGTAGCCCTCAAGTCCATGTGCCCCTTAGTGCTGTGTCTTTTCTGTGGTCCATCTGTGACACCACTGTTATGTCCACATGTCCAACCCAGCCACGCTAAGTGTCCCTCTGGCCTATGAACCTGTGTCTGCTCGTCCGTGTGCTTACTCATGAGCCCTGTGCCTGTTTCATGTTCTGTGTCGTGTGACCCTGTGCCCCGCTGCCCAGGGTGCCGGTGTGGCCTGGGTCCATCGCCCTGTAGCCTGGCCCAGTCCCAGTCCAGTGCCTTCCACCCTGCCCTGGCCTACCACAGCTGCCTCTGGGCCTCGGCCTGGCTTCACCGCATTCCAGGGGCTGCATGCCCCCTGCTTCTACCGCCACTGGCCTTAACTGGCCCTCAGGCCCTCCCTCCGCCCAGGACAGGGTGGCACCCGCCACTCTCAGGACCACCCTGCCAAGGCAGAATAAATCGGATCCTGTCACAGAAAAAAAAAAAGAAATATCAATTACCTTAATGGCATTTTAGGGGTATGGAAGAGATAAATTTGTATCCATAGTATGGTGTCTTTTTTTGTTTTTTAATTGCATGTGTGTTTTTAACCTGTTCTTAAATTATTCTAATTTGTAGGGGCCTTTAAAAGGACGCAGAGTGGAAGGAATTCAATATGAAGACATTTCTAAACTTGCCTGAGTTTGAAAATTTAACTACATATTAAAATCCAAAAGCATCAAATTGGTGTTCGCCAAGGCGTTAAGAGTCTCTACTGTGTCAGGGTATTCCTTTTGTATAAAAGAAACAGATTTTTGAAAATAGTACTATATAGTTGTTCAGCTAAACTTATAAAAAATTTAATTATGTCTCATGAATTATCATAACTATGTAATTTTATCCTTGTCATGTTTCCTTCGTTTATAATTTACTTGATTTTTTATCTTCATTAAAGAACGTTACTGTAAAGTGTTTTATATAAAACAATTTAGGATCATATAATTGGAAGAAATCTGTCATACATTCTAAATTTATATTTTCAGTGGTAGAGTAGTAAAACTGAGCTATGAATGTAAATTTAAAAAATCAACCTATACATATAATCCTTTATTGTGACACAATTCATAGACCACACGAGCCACTCATGTAAAGTGTACACTTCTGTGGTCTTAGATACTTACAGAGCCGTGTAGCCATCACCACTGTCTGACTTTAGAACATTTTCTTTACCCTCAAATGAAAGCTTGTACATAGTCAGTCCTTGTTTCCCCTCTGCCCCAGCCCTAGGCAGTCAGTAATCTACTTTCTATATCTATGGATTTGCCTGTCTGGACATTTCTTATAAATGAAATGATATAATGTGTCATTGTCTATGACTGGCTTCTTACACTTAGCTAATGTTTCCCAGGTGTGTCTGGGTTGTGGCATGTAGGAGCGCTTCCTTCCTTTTTATTGCTGAAAAATGCCCATTGTGTGGATATACTGTGTTTCGTTTATCCTTTCAGCAGTTGATGAATGTTTGAGCTGTTTTACTTTTTGGCTGCTGCGGACATCCACGTACAGGATTTTGTGTGAACACATGCGTTTAAATAAGTAGAGCGGTCTATTATTTTGGGATGCAAAAGCCAGGAGATGCACCTCACACTTGCTTATGCCAAAGGAAACAAAGGATGCTTATAGTTGACGTAACTGAAAGGAACAGACACGAGCGGCAGGGACAGGAGGACCCGAGCGAATGTCTCACCAGGGCGTATTCTCTCCCTCCTTTCTCCCTCCCTTCCCCCCTCAGTTGATGTGAGACCTATGCAAACACTTAAGTGTCAGATACAAAGCCTGGCACATAGTGGGTGTTGCATACATGGTCGTGAGTGGCAGTACCAGGAAATGGAGCCCAGCCGTTGAGCCTGATCCAGTGAAGTCTGACCTGGAGAATTCCAGCGAGGAGAATGGCTCTCCCCGAGACCAGAAGATGGTGACTCGCATATGCCCTCCCCAAGTCCATACGTTTGGAATCCACTCAGTGGTTTTCTTCAGAGGAATGTTTCACGTCTGCCTCCCGCATTTAACTATATTCCCCAACATCTTCCTGAAATTATCTCAGAATGAGAAAATAGCCTACTTGGGGCTAAAGTCAATAGAGCATATCTGAAGCATAAAAATTTGATACTAGATTTGAGAGCAACTTATTCTTCTCAGTCTGTAGACCCCGATAGTAGTTAAGCAAAATGACTGCGGACAACTAAAATCTAGTCTTATGTTGAGTTTTATTTTTGAGTCAGGGTCTCGCTCTGTGGCCCAGGATGGAATGCAGTGGTACAGTCACGGCTCACCTCGGTCACAACGTCATGAGGCTCAGGTGATCCTTCCACCTCAGCCTCCCAAGGATCTGGGACTACGGGCACATGCCGCCACACCCAGCTAACTTTGTTATTTTTTGTAGAGACGAGCTCTCGCTATGGTGTCAGGGCTAGTCTCAAACTCCTGGGCTCCAGCAATCCACCCACCTCGGCCTCCCAAAGGGCCAGGGTTACAGGTTACAGGCGTGAGCCGCTGCACCCAAGCTTTCTTTTTGGCACTGAATAATATTCTGTTGTCTGAGTGCACCCACCGCTTATTTATCTACTCACCTACTGAAGGGCATCTTGGTTGCTTCCTAGTTTTGGCAATTAGGAATAAGGCTGCTGTAAACATCCGCGTGCAGGTTTTTGTTGGACATAAATTTTCTTTTTTTTTTTTTTGAGTTGGAGTCTCACTCTGTCGCCCAGACTGGAGTGCAGTGGCCACTCCCGGCCACCGCAGCCTCGACCTGACAGGCTCCGGCGATCCTTCCACCTCAGCCTTTCAAGTAGCTGGAACGACAGGCGCGCGCTATCACACCTGGCTAATTTTTGATTTATTGCAGAGATGAGGTCTCGCCAAGTTGCCCAGGCAGGTCTCAAACCCACGGGCTCAGGCAGTCCACTCACCTCAGCCTCCCCAAGCGAGGGATTACGGGCTGAGCCACCGAGCCCGGCTAGAAGTAAGTTTTCAACACATTTGGGTCAATGCCAAGGAGCAAAATTGCTGGGCCCTGTGGTAAGAGTATGTTTAGTTTTGCGAGAAACTGTCAAACTGTCTTCCGAAGCGGCTGTGCCATGTTTCAGTCCCACCAGCCATGAGTGGGAGTTCCTGTGATTTCACATCCTCGCCAGCCCCTGGTGGAGTCAGTGTTCTGGGTTGCGGCCAGTCTTAGAAATAGGTAGTGGTAGCTTGGTGTTGTGACTTGCATATTCCTGCTGACATAAGATGTGGGACATCTTTTCATATGCTTAGTTGCCTTTCTTAAGTCTTCTTGGGTGAAGTGTCGTCTCAGGTCTTTTGCTCATTTCTTAAATTGGGTCGTTCATTTCTTTATTGTTAGATATTAAGAGTTCTTTGTCTGTGTTGGGCCATCGGTCTTCATCACATGTCTTTTGCAAAGATTTTCTCCCAATCTGTGAGTTGTCTTCTCCCTTTTTTTGTTAAAGCTATTCCTTTTTTAAAAATCAACTTGCATGAGGTCAAATTAAATTATTGGCATTGCTGTGCTGGAAGACCAAATTTGTCATTGGAATGCCATCAAATCCCATGGCTTTATTTGCTGACTTTCCCCTGGTCTTCTGGCATCTACTTCTGATAGTTTTTTTTTAATCAATTTTTGCCGACGTGAGTTGAGTCAAACTTATTCAGCAAACACTGAGTGCCTTCAGTAGGTAGGCCACTGCCCTAGATGCCGTAGACTCAAGGTGTGTGATATGGGAGTTGTCAGCGTTCAGGGATAATCAAATGAAGTGACAGGCCAGTAAGAAACTTGATCATCGGAGCAGCTCATTAAGAATCCCAGCACTTTGGCCAGACTCAGTGGCTCAGCCTGTAATCCCAGCATTTTGGGAGGCTGAGGTGAGTGGATTGCCTGAGCCTGCGGGTTCGAGACCAGCCTGGGCAACTTGGTGAGACCTCATCTCTACAATAAATAAATAAAAAATTAGCCGGGTGTGGTAGTGCATGCCTGTAGTTCTGGCTACTTGGATGGCTGAGGCGGAAGGATCGCTGGAGCCCAACAGGTCGACGCTGGGGTGACCGTGAATGTGCCACTGCACTTCAGCCTAGGCGACGGAGTGAGACTCCAACTCAAAAAAAAAAAAAAAAAAAGTCCACCCGGACTTTGCTGGACCAAAGAGACTATGAATGGATGACAGTTCATGCGTCGGTTCCTACTTTGGTAAGATGGAGTTGCAGGATTAGAACACGAGTCAACCTTGACTAAATTAGTCACTGGACTGACTGAAGTGACCCTAGAGATGTTCACTGTATAACTGAATAATCATTCCACTAAAAGGGAGCATCCTTGATTTTTCTTTTTCTTACGAGGATATTTCAGAAAAAGCCACCAAATAAACTTGCCCAGTGTGAAGTGTTAAGAAAAATAATACTAAGTTCTTACAAGATGTAAGGATTTGCATATATCCAGATAGCCAGGAAATTTTCACCTTGATGTTACCAGACCTTTGGAGTCACTTGTATCTCCTTCAGTTAGGAAAAGGCTGAAGAGAAGGTAGAATTACGTGACCCATGACCCTTGAAAGCATGTACGGTGATTTGCATAATGCCTCATACTGGTAGATACTAAAATAGCTTCCCCTTCATAATTCACTTGTATTACATGTTGAAAGAAATGTTTTAAAATTCTTCCTTTAGCTGCTTCTTCAGATGAACACTTTCCAACTGTAAGGAAACTTGTTTAACTTTCAGTAATTTAAACACAATAGTTTAAAAGTAATTTTAAAATAAGCATAAACTTGTGACTCAGGTATGATTTGAGCCAAGAATTTTTCTCAGACGTTGGCTTGCATTTTTCCCTCAGTAAGACACATGTATTTAATTGGTTTAACAGCAATTGTGCAGACTGATACTCAGAAAAAGCCTGAGCATGAGCTAGTTAAGTCCAAAAAATGATTACTATATCTCACAAACAGCACCTGTAATTCTCCAGCTGAGACTTCAATTGAATGCCAGTCTTTTACACAAAACATAATGCTGATCAACCACCAATCAGTTGCAAGATGCTCCAAAGAATGAAGAAACATACTAATGGTTGTTGTCAAGTTGTTTCCCTTCGATGCTGAGAGATGTGACACTTTCAGAAACTTACCAGGAGGTATGACTATGGTTGAAAGAAAAACACTGTATATTGCAAAATAGAAGAAAGGCTTGTGAAGATTCTCACCACAAGGAAATGATAAATGCGTGAGGTGGTGAATACCCCACCTAGCCGGACTGGATCATCATACAACATAGCTGTGTATCAGAACATTCAGTTATACTCCCAAAATATCTGCAATTACCATGTGTCAGTAAATAAATGAACTAACCAGAAGGTATCTGCAGTGGAATAATTGTTCCTTTCCGGTCATCCTTGTTACTTTGGTTCCTATGAAATCCACAATTGATTGTTCATTTATAATTCAAAATTAATTATATGGAGAAGGCATAGTTCTGCTCTCAAGAAGGATACGTGTGAACAGTTATTAATAAGATTATTTTTATAGGCAATACATTTCAAAACACTTGCTATTAGTAAAAGTTTTGATAATTTGAATCACACACATGGATTTTATTTTAAGTCTAGTTTTTTGTTGTTGTTTTGTTTTTTGCTAGGTCTCTGTTACCCAGTATCCTGCATATAAATATACGCCCTGAGATTTTCATCGTTACTTTTAAAACCACTGTATACATATAAAATACTAGGAATCAAACTAAATTTATCTAAAGATAGAAGTTTTAAATAGAAGATTTTTAACCAAGAAGCATAATTAATGATAAGAACCCACTTTTGAAGTTTGTGTTGAATATTTGCATTTTAAAATTAGTATTTTTGAAACAGGAAATGGAAAAGATAAGTGATACACTTTTCAAAAGTATATCATAGGTGACTGCTTACAGAAGAAGAAAACTGAAAGGCAGTGCCATTTGCCTCTTCACTGAGGTTATCTCACGGAAAAAAAGTTTCATAAAAAATGTACCTTACCAGGCTCGGTGGCTCAGCCTGTAATCCCACGCCTTTGGGAGACTGAGGTGAGTGGATTGCCTGAGCCCGCAGGTTCGAGACCCACCTGGGCAGCGAGACCTCATCTCTACAATAAATTTTAAAAAAAAACTTAGCTGGGCGTGGTAGCCCACGCCTGTAGTTCCAGCTACTTGGAAGGCT